GATCTGCTAAGGCGTTGAGGGTTACTGTTGGGTTTTAGTGGGTTGTTCGGGACTATTCTCGGGAAGTTCTACAACTTCAACTTCTCCCTTGGGTCGGACAAAAGAGATAAACCGCTTCCCAAACGTCAAAAAAGGTTATATATAATATCCCTTAAAGGCTATGAGCATGATATACATAATTTAAATAAGAAAGCACTATTTTATTTCAATATACATCATTTTTAGCTCCTGAGTGAATTATAAATTTTATTAATATTCGGTTTCACGTGTCCCTTGTAATTGTGAGACGAAACTTCTTAGCATTCCATGGATTCACCGTGCGGGTACCGGGTCCATCGTTGTAGAGAGGAGCTTCAACAGTGCCTGGGACTTGCGACCCAGGTTTAGGTTTAAGGGGCCCCTATCTAACGCGCGTTATACGATTACCTCCACTGTCCAAGCCTCCTCACTAACTCACTCTCTCTGCCTAACTAAATTTGAAAAGCACCTACAGGGATGTCTTTGAAGTACGTTCTAATAATGAATTAATAGTTCTTGACGGGAACAAGACTTTTAGTATGTTGTAGAGAGATTAGGCTGTTATAAAGCTCGCTCCTACTTCAACCGTGTAATAATAATTTACGACGATCCTAATATCTGTTGACCTTGACGATATAATAATAATACATATTTTTTTTAATATTAAAAGTAAAATTAACATAACTTACTTGTTACACGTAATTCAAGTTTATTATCAGAAAAGTAAAGTATTAATATCTTTTAAACAACCTATTTAAATAATGGAATTGTTCAGAAAATATATCGACAAAAATCTAAAATTATATAACATTGAGTAATATTAGGATTATATTTGGGTAACGATATGTGTATAAACACGGCTCATATTTGAGAAATACAGCATTCGTTCAAACGTCGTGAACAAATCCAATGAGCTGCAGCGTTACATAAGGTAATGCTGATGAAGTTACAGCACGCGAATCCAGAATACACATTAATGCTTAATCATCGTTTTATTTATACTCGTTTGATGCTAACGACATTCGTTTACATATAAAACTTTGTCCTCATTTAATAAGGTATCTACCAATTTATAAACAACTTTCGTATATGATGGAAGTATTAAGGATTTTGCTGAGAAAATCCTTAGTAATGTACTTTATTTTATTTGAACGAGGTATATTTCGATGTATTTTTACGAGCTCTAAAGATATTGTCAACATTCCACAAGTAAGATAATGCAGCAAGATAGAAAAATGTATAGTAAGTAATCGTTTCTTTTGACACGGAGAAAATGTGAGAAAATTCTTAACATAAATTATTCCTATTCCGATTCCAGTTTATTAAAGTCAGTTAATAGTGAATAGTGAATGTAGCTTTTTATGAACTCGTTTTACGTGTATATATTTTCCTACCCAATACACAATTTGTCAGTAATTATCCCCTTACAAAAACTTCACATTATATACGTAGTATAGTATTTCCAGAATTTTTATTCAAAAATCTTCGCACGTGGTATTATCAACGTAAGTTTATAAAACATAATCTTAAAATCTTCGATATCTAACTAACTGTAATATATTATATAAATTTTTAAAAAGTTCCTTGCAATGCGAATACTGTTTTTAAATAGCTTATTTTTTTACATATGAATGCTACAGTCACGAAGAATGCTCCTTGTAATGAGTGTAGCTCATTTTTATATTAATACTAGCTGCACCCTGCGTTGTTACCCGCGGATTTCCGTGATATCTGAGCCTATATGTTATTCTTGGACGTCAGCTTCCTGTATACAAAATTTTATCAAAATCGGTTCAACCGTTTGAGCGTGAAGAAGTAACAAACATATGCACACACTCACAAGCTTTCGCAATTATAATATTAGTAGGATGATGTTTAATATTATTAGTTTCTTTCCAGTTGAAGACATTCGTAGAAAAAAGTTAATTCGTCAGTAGTGATGTTTAAAACTAAATGTTTAGTAAGTTTTTAATATGGTTTTCAAGATAGCTTGTTAGGGTAAGTTTAATTACCAACGCAATTCGGTCAGTACTTTCACTTTACCTAAATTCTACTTAAGAGAACACAGAATTCAAAATATGTGGCAAATTGCAATTAAAATGAAAAGGTGGACTAAAAATACAGTTCTTCACTTTCTTTGTCATTTCAAAGACACATTATATCCATATTAATATTATAGTATTATTTATTGTCGATTTTAAAAGGACAACTATTAGAATTGTACTAGATACAAACGAACAATTCTGACTTCCTTATCGTTATAAGCGATCTCTTCCAGACAGCCAACATTGAAGAGGAAAATGTATGGGAGATATGTTGAACGTACTTATATATAAAAAATACAGATATTTCACACAACAACAGATTAATGAACATTATCGACTTTTTTCACAGTAAATCTTGTAGCTAATAATCAAAACCAATATAAATGTACATATACACCAGATTAATTTATCACACATCTAAGTCTCTTATAGATTGTAATCATATTGTTTAAATGACTTCTGTGACTCCAACTTTAAAATGTAAAGGAAGTTTATGGATATTTCCGAATCACATGAGTTTTGGTTTTGGCTAAGGAGTAGAATTCCTTGGACCTTGTTATCATTGATTTAATAGCTAAAAATTACTGCATTCAGAAATATGCTGCAGGTATTCATTGACCCCATTGATAGTATGGTAAAGATCGGTGAGTTTTAACTGACGATATATTCAAAGACCTTCAGCTTACAGTTGGTAGACATAAGTAATACGAGAACAAATAGTGTTGGTAAATACTAAAAATATTTTATTCTTTTGTTACACAGCATGGCACCTTGAGGTGCACCAGCATTGACACGACTTAAGTCTGATACAATTCATTCAACCGAACACGTGGCAGGCGGCTATGCAAGCAAATGTGATCTTTTAAGACTAATAGAAATGTGGGGAGAGAATACAACATCGCTAGCAGTGTCCACAGTATTAAAAACGTGATGAAATCAGCAATGTTATTACTCTAACTTGTCCTTGAAGGAGGGACTGTGGATAATCTACCTTGTTCTCTTTAATCATTTTAAGCATAGCACATACCGGAAGCCAGATTGGGAATTTAATTCAACAGACTGTTTTTTTTTGATACGATAAGGTTTGATCGGAAATGAAATGATGTAGGCTTCTTTTACATATTATCAAATGGTATTATCAATTCGGCACCAAATCTTGAACAGTTAGGACCATTTTGACCAATGGCATCAGAATCAACTGCATCGGAGCTCACTGGTAAAACATTATTCTCAAAATAACTTTGAAAAAATATTTGTAAAGATAGTAGAAGAGAAGGCAACATTGTAATTATTATAAAATAATTACGATGTTGCCTATTATAAAAATAATTGTATGCTTATTCCAAAGTGCCATAGTCATGCTACAGGAGCTTTAACTATTTTTTATTCATATTATCATATATCTTTAAATGAATAATTTTTGTATATATATTTATACATAATCATAATAAATATAGGAGGTTTCGGGGGCGATAAATCGATCTATTTAGGAATCATTTTTATAAAATGTTATTTTATTAAAAAATGAGTCGTTTAAAAAATGACTTTTCCTGACATCTATTGGCAAATAGTAATACTACTCGTACTGTTTACTAATTGCTTTAACGATTAAACAGCAGATGGCGTTGTTTAGTATCAGGAAAGTCAATGAGTGTTTGTTTTGAGGTTACACTAAGAAAATAATTGTTGATTTATATTGTTTTGTCTTCTTAACGTGTTCACTTAAAAATGCCTAAACGAAATTAAAAAAAAAAACACAAAATAAATACTAATAATTCCTAAATAACACGCAAAGTTCGGTAACCAGATATTGAGTATTATCCTAGGTTACTGAATGGGCACCGGAAAACACTTCATATTTCGTGGGACGATGGAAACTTGAATTATGCCTAATGTCTGGTATTTCTTCACGACTCATCGGATTATATTAAAATAAATTGAAGTAAATAGGATCTTGTAAGAGAAAGTAGATATCCTTTGTTATTCGTAACAATTAACAAGATGTATTTGGATAAAAGTTTCTTATGAAATATTTACAATTTTCTTTAATTTTTATCACTTAAACACACTTCAATAAAATAATTATGATGATAATGTTTGAAAAAACAATAAATACACCTGTAGACTGTCTGTCTGACTGTCGCTACTAGACTTATATCCTATTTATTACAGTGAAAACAAAAGTTAATGTAATTACATATGTACATGTTTCTTTTCGAGGATTAAGTCATATTCAGTAACATTGCTCGTATGGTTGTAAAAGGAGTTTTCACATCAATTCATATTTGCATTTAATGTTAAGGCATAAATAGACGTCTTTATTCCATTCAACAAACTCCTTCGTGTTTTCTTTATACAGTACTCAAGATTATAATCCACCCAACAAAAAAACGTTGACATTTGCAAAATATAATACGATTCCAATGCGAACGAAGCCATAGCATAAGATAATAAAATGTTTAGGCACTTGCTGCTCTTAGAGCTAACCCAATTGGTAATTTTATAATTAGCTTTGGAGTATTTATTGAAACATATTATGTTAAAGATCCTTCTACTTTAGGCTAATTTCATTAAACAAAATAAAACATATGGTTATTAAGATAAATAAAAGTTTTAGATATATTTAGTAGAGGCAATCAACCAAGTGTAATCATATTGTCTGTTATTTCAGCAAACAACTGGTGGTTTCCTTTTGTTGATGATGACACAGAATGATGTGGTCCAACAATGCAATATTGCAAGTTGCAATTCGTGTCCACTGTTACACCTGTATACAATATACAGTCTTGGAGAACACATCTGAAAACAAAAAAAAAAATTAAATTAAAAAAAATATATAAAAAACTGTTACAAATATTTATTCTATTTATTCACAAACATTTTAAAACTGCCCGAGTTATTGTTTTGCACTTAACTAATTAATTTTGAGATTCTCATTCATAACTCTTCATATACATATATGGTCTAGTATCATAGTTTTTTTTAATGAAAATGTAATTCTTTTTGGACTTGCTTTACCAATATAAACTCAGGATGGGGTATTTCATCAAAGAATGGAAATTTTTTCCAAATTTGATTTATACCCTATGTAAAGGTTTGAATAAAATTGTAAGCATGTATATAGTATGTATTTTTATATGTGTATGTGTGTGTGTGTATAAGTGAACTCACCCTTCTTTGACAGTAACATTATTCATTAATATGCAATTTGTTAATCTGACTTTGTTTTCGATAGTACAATTACTGCCAATGAATGTGCTTTTTAATGATGTCTTCTCACTAATGCAACTTTTCTCTCCAACTGTACAATTTTCATCAATTTGTTTTGTGCTAACTTCACTGTTGGGATGTATCCTCTCTAACAGTTCAGTTCCTGTTATTTCTTGCCATTTTGATAGTATCTGGAAAATTTTAATGTGTTAAATCTATTAACTGTGTAATTAAAAATATATCATTATCACATACAAAGTCACTTGTTAAACAATTACAATTTCATTTCTGGAAATTACCTTGCTATTAGACAAGTACAATGCAGATAAAGTGTTCACTCGGATACCAAATGTATTTTTATCAGGTATATGAGCATAGCACCGCAATGTATCATTATAGTAAACACCTTTACTCCCTAAAGTATGGTCATTATAAGCTGACATTTTTCGTATCTTACTCTCATAGCCTTGTTCTACGGCATAATCGAAAATATCTTTAGTTATATCTACATTCTTTTCCGAGGTACCTTTCTTTTCGACTTGGTTTTTCGGTTTAGCAAGCTGTTTCTTAACAATATGAGGTATTAATTCTCCTTTGACTGAAGTAAATTTGTCTGTATCAACAACATAATTCACAACCCACTTCTTCATTACGTATACATGGGCATCTAATAATCTACTGTACATGCTTATAGAATTAAATTTCTTTATGAGTAATCTTGGTATTGTGACATTTTCTTCAAAGTCACTAGCGCTGGCAAGAAAAACTAATCTTTCTGTTTCTTTGTCTATGCAAACTAAGTCTCTATCTGGTTTTGCTTTAGTTTTAAGTCCAGGTAATTCAATCCATTCTTCTGGTCCGTTGTTGAAAAAGAGTGTAGCAAGAGCTGCATCATGTTTTCGGTAAAGGTTTAACACATCATTTAAATTAATATTGGTTATGAGATCTCCCGAGACTACTATAAGATCTGTGTTCACTTTACTACTAACATGTTTGAGAGAGTTAGCCGTACCCCAATCTTCTTCTGACGGTATAACAATCAAGTCATATTTGATTTTCAAAGGGCATTTCTCCAGTGCATTAATGATATTAGATTTATCTTCATCTAATACAACCAACATGGTTTCTGGAATACGAACATTAAACATTAAATTAATACTTAACAATTATTTAATCATTTGGGGAATTCTTACTTTTTATCTTTTAAAAATTGTACCTTGAAATCCAAACTTTTCCAACATGTTTAATGAATACCATAACACAGGATATGGACCAACAGGCAAAAGACATTTTGATACTGTTCCTCCTACATCAGGCATGCGAGATCCTCGTCCCGCTGCCAACACGACGGCTTGAAATTCTAGTATCTTATGCATTTTTTTATATCTGGGAAAAATGTGTAGGTTAGCAATGACAGTAGCGAAGATATATAATATATTTTAAGTTATTTTTATAACGCAGGGGAAAATGAAGTAACTTTTTACTCACCTTTTAATTATAATTTATTTAAATTTCTTTATTTAAAATGACGACATCCAAAATAACATATTTAATGAATGACAACTGTTAACCGAGCGACTACTGACAAATAAACGAATTGATAATTGACAATAATAGTGATTGTGTTGCTCGTTAGGAAATTATAATTTTGCCTTATACCTTTTACATATAGTCATAAAAATAATAGTTTAAAATAAATCTAACTATGCAAATTACCAAACTTTCAGGTTTGCTTGGTTTTTAAAAACATTATTTTTATTTAAATTATATTTGAAATGTAATTCGTATGAAAATAACAAAAAAACGTAGTATGTGGAATAAATAAAGTGTGGTTGTACCACATAAAATACAAATGATAGCTTGCAAACTCAAAACAGTGACCAGACCATAATAATATCACTGCCTTTAACGAACTATAGTTGAGAAAGAGAGTCGTCTTTCAACCGATCATACCTTTCGTAATGCTCTCGTCATGCATTTACCAGTTTAGTCAAATATGTGTTACAATTTTGTTTTTCTATAAGCATGAAACTATGAGAGAATTGCAAACAAATTATATTGTTAAATATACCTATTAAGATCTGTCCTCGAAATAACCACAGGTCATTATTTTCAACCTCTGACGTAAACGAATATATAATCTTTATCGTGAACTCATGAGTGGCTGACAAATAGTGATATGAAGAATTCTATTTCTATCCCACTGGGGTTGGCCGAGCTTTGAATATTTTAAAATTAATGAAACTAACATATTTTACTCTGGGTTCCACTGGTTTTTTATTAGTATAAGACATTAAAAGTAAAGTCATTATCAGAACGATTTATTTTTAAAAGGTATTCAATTTACCCAACATGTACCCATAGCCATATACCCAAATATACAGTAATTTATACAAAAATAAATGATTTATAATATTTGTACTTGATTAAGATTTAAATTTAAATAAATTAACAAGATTAATATTTAATAAAAGAGATATAAAATATTTAAAGAGAGAATTCATAAAAATGTTTAGTCATCATCGAGGGGTGGTGGTGGCGTGACCGAAATGCTGTCCAACGGTACTGCTAACGATGCAGCTTGCATTAGAAAGTTGAGTGAAGCAGATTCCATGTCAACTGTAGGTGCTGGAAGAATAAAAATGACACGAATATTATTTTTCTTCTAAAACCATAGAAGCTTAATGTTTGTAAGTAATACCTTCGTCAGCTTCTGATGGTTGAGGAGGCACTGGTTTTGGCACATTACAAGGTAAACAGGGCTTAATTTCCTGATCTGGTGCATCAGTCAAATATACCTTGTAAGGAAGATAAGTTTAAAATTATAAGCAAAATAAACTACTTTGATAGCATAAAATTCTGTCTAAAATAATTAAAGATAAGGAAATACTATCAAGCATACTACCGCCGGCTATCGAAAGTTGGCAAAAATCAAATGCATGAATATTTTCGTAGTTTGAATTTATGTTAAGCTCTAAAGGCAAGATTTTTATACATTACGAGAAGCGTGACTCTAACTGTTAAAATCACTACATCGTATAATCGTAGTTTGAAAAAAATTACTTTGCCATCAGTTCCAATTGCTGTGGTGATGCGTCTTTGGAGTGGAGTGATGATCATGCCTACTGGAGCTCGACTTACTGCTCCAGTAATTATCGTATGCGAACCTCCACAATACCTCTGACAAATATGGGATCTGGAATATAAATAATAGTATACATTTTTCTTATTTCATCTCTATCAATAATTGTTAAAACCCACAAATACCTAGGATCTTTCGGATGGGGTATTGGTCGACCTGGGTAACATAATAAGTGGTCACCATCTTCCTTTGGTTTGCTCGTATCACTATCGGTAGCAAGCTGATCGCCCGGTTTTGGAAAAGCTGGAAGAGCTGGTACTAAATCGGGTTTTTCAAGTTTCATAATTGCTGGAGTAGCACATGAGAGGCATGCCGTATCATGGAACAGTTTTTTGGATATAGCAGCGGCAGTTGGCTCTCCTACTATATCCATAATTGACTTAATATTTTGCCTTAACTTTTCTAAGTTAGCGTTGACATCATCACGCAGTGAGGCAACTTGCATCCAATCGGCTTTCTCATTCAATTCTCTTAGGAGGTCATCTATAGCTTTCTATAAGTTTTAATTTTTCTATTATTACTAACACAATTTTTTTAATTTATACCATATATATTTCTTAATTTTGTAATTTTAGTTAGTGATACAATATGATAACTTTAGTTTATATTTCTTACTTGCCAAATAATCTCTTGATTATTAAATTTGTCATAAGCGGCACCTATGCGTTTTTCGAAGTCTCCCCGAACTGCGTCAAATTGTTCTTGTGATACAAGACCATTCAGAGCTCCGAGCCCTGCTTTGTCTCGTAACGCATCAGCAACTTCCTCACGATCCGATTTTGTTTCACGAAGGATCTCAATTTGCTTCCATAAACCCTAATATTATGATGTTACAAGTTAAAACTGTTAGATTATAAACATAGCAACTTCATCATTAAATATTTGAATTGATAAAGGATGAAATCAAATACATTATCTGTGTCATTAAAAAATCAAATACATAGAAAATAGGCAGTTAAATATTCAACACGAACAGGATGAAAGCTGCATCTGCAATGCAATAATCTTTAAGCGGTATATTGAATTAGAATTTAACAGTTTGAACCGATTAAAGAAAACGGTGTGGGTATATAAATACCAACAGCGTGTATAAATTAATTACAATACAATACTTAAATAAACAACTAGTCTTGTTTTGTTTGAAGTAATTCAGAAATACTCTTATATTACAGTTTATGTTCACAGCTTCAGATAGAACCTAGTAAGAAATATTTATATTTCATACAATTTACTTCAAGGTCTATAAAAAGAAGACTCTGTTGGTCCTTCAAGTTCTTCTGTTTAATATTTGCAGTATCGAATTCCATTTGCAAATTCGTGATATTAGTATTTAATTCTGCTGCAGCTGAAATTATATTTTAAACAGTCATTAACTAGAGTTCGAATAGCTATTTCAAAACTTGATGTATAGTTTTATTTTGCATCATACCAGCAGTGTCTCCTCCAGTATTGGCTATGGCTTCAGACATCGATTCTAATCCAGCCTCTAAGTCATGTTGCATTTGTGTAAGCTGTTCTTGATAGTCAGTCATCTGTTATCAAAATTTTCGAGTTGTGTTTAAAAACACTTTTAAAAAGAAACTAAATTAGAAAAATGTACATATTTTTAGAAAATTTAACAGGCCCCATTTATATAAAACAATTAGAATATGAAATTTAGTTCAGGGTCTCAACTTTTGGTTAACTTTACACATAAATAGTGAGGAGAACTTACATATGCAGATAAACCCGTGTCTAAAGTATTTATTTGAGTAGCATACTCTGTTACTAAAGTTTCTAAATCATCCATTCTCGTGTTCAAATTCAGAGCATCGTTAAGTTTTCTTTCTGTTGTAAATTGTAGAAAGTTACAGATAAATTTAAAAATATCTATCTCAAAGTATATTTTTGTATTATTAGGTACCTAAACGATTTGCAATATTTAAAGCACTATCGGCGCTTGACATCGATTTATCGATATTAATTGTTACCGCTTTTAAAAGGGTCTCTTGAAGTAGCGCCATCGCATCACTGAAATTTAAATTGTGTATAGAAATTTATCTTTTCATTTTCAAGTATACTCCTTAAAGACTCACTCCAATTCCTGGTGGCTGACCCAATTGGGCTTAAAAGCTGGAGTTAGAATATCTGTTTCTCCTGATGGTGGTACGTCTTCATAGCGAGCATCTATTTCTTGTATTGCGTCACCAGACGTTGTAGGTGGTATCATTTCTACTTTTTCATAAGAAGTCACTACAGTTGTTTTTCTTATGCCTTTCAGTTTTTTAGTTTTTTTGCTTTTAGGACCCATTTCTGATGGCCCTTCAAACAAAACTTCAGTTTCGACATCCTCGACTTTCTAAAATGAATCATAAAGTTGTTTTATTGATGTCACAAATTATCTTAGGTAATTTTAACGCGTTTACCTCTAGCAATGTTGATATATCGATGCCTTTTTGCTTTGCAACGTCAGTTATTAAAGCCATCATTTGTTCTAATGCTTTCTCAGCAGCTTCAACGCGGGCTGATAGTTGTAAAGCTGCCATAGCATCGGTTAAAGATGCACCTCTTCGAAGCTCTTGCATCAATTCAATATTTTCCGGAAACTCTGCTTTACCGACGGTACCGAATTTCTCTTGTAATTCTCTGACCTGTTTAGCTAGATGGTCATACTGATCTTGGGTGACAACTGATAGTGGTTGATCCCTTTTACCTGACAAAACATAATGGAGTTATGAGTATCATTATTTTTTTGTTAATATTCGAGAAATGTACCTACCTACCTGTTTTTGATTCAATGTCTGTATCCGTAGGTACGCGCTCAACTGTGAATCAAAACTCCTTTGTCATTTGCACATTGAGGTCTACAAGAATACCTTTTAAAAGTTTATTTTAAATCTTACCAATGAGAAGTTTTTCGTATTGTGCCTCTGTAAATTTTCATTTCGCTTAGTGTAAATTAGTGATAGCGATTGAGACAATATTATTTTATTAAAACCTTTCTATAATATAATTACCCATTTCATCTAATGAAGCCATAGGAGTAGGTAATTTCTTTGCTTCCTCTCTTGAGTCTGCCCTCTGCAACAGATTTTTGATTAAATTATAAAATTGTGGAGTAATTTACCATAAATTCAAAAAACCTGCTGATAAGTAAATAATTTAGTTTACGATAATTAAAGAGTATTGAAGGATTATAAGAAATAATATTTTTTTATGTTCTTATAACTCCATAAAGCTGTCGATACCATAACTATCCCTCCATCGTCTAATATATAATAAATATACTTACCTGGGAATAGGTAGTAGTTGAAATAAAATAAAATAAAATAAAGGCAAGCCACCAAACTGAGCTAAAAAAAGCATAAAACAAAAGAATATAAAACGCTGTATGGGATTTATGTAGATGAACCTGATTGACAACTCGAAGCTCTTGCTCTCTCTGCTGCTCAACAATTTCCAACAGCTGATGATAATCTTGAGTGGAGAACTAAACAAAATGTTAATAATATCTTTGATTTTTATCTACACGTTATCGTTACTAGTACGTACCTTTTTTTTATGGGACTCTGTAGTCGCTTCTGTAGAATCCTTAATGGTTGGTTTCATTTCAGAAGACTTATCTGTACTCGATTTTTCAGTTTTAGACGACAGTGATGTGGATGTTTTAAATAATGAAGATGTAGTAGTTTTGTCAGTAGTTGATTTTGAAGTTGTTTTATCGGTCGACGTTATTTCTGATGATTTATCAGTTTCTGATTTTACGGAACCGATGGCTTCTTTTTCTGTAACACCTTCTCCTGCAACTTCAATTTTTTTTCTTATTTGTCCTCCGCCACTTCCTTTAGCACTTTCAACAACACCACCCTTTCCCTTTTTCCCACCACCACCAGCTCCGCTACTACCACTACTACCACTTCCTTTAGGTTTTTTCCTCCTTTTTGGAACATTTGCTTTAATTTTGACTTCTGTCACCGAAAGAGTTGAAGGTACCCTCGCCATATAGGGATCAATTTCAACTTCTACTTTTCTTTGCAACAGCCGTAATTGGCTTGCGAGAATAAAGAATATAGTATGTAGTAGTTTGAAATTAACTACATTATGCTGCAACAATAATGTCAAATATAAATTTCCAAATAATATATCTTATTTACATATTCTTAGAAAATATGGCATCTCAGTACATTAAGGCTAAAAAAAAAATAGTTTATTTGTTTATCGGAGTAGCCGGTAGGTAGGTATGTATATTTTAAAACAGTAGGTATAAATTTTATAAATGTTGATGAAAAAATAAATAAGGATAACTTACTTTCTCTTCTCCAAAAGCAGTATCTATCATTTCTTGAATAGTCAATAGACTGTAGTTCGACATTTTATGTATAAATAATCTCTTTTAAACAAGGTAAATGTAATAAAAATCGTTATTATATGAACTTAATATCTGAATGAATTAGAAAATATATAAAATCTGGTAGGAGTTCGCATGAAATATCTGTCAATAAATAACAAATATATATTTTTATTTGTGTCCACATACCTATACAAACTTTTTTACTAAACAATTTAAGTAATATATTATGTTTTATACTCAATAACCTAAAACTCTTTGTAGTGTGACATACTAAGTGATCCGATCCTAGTTAATAATAATTAATCTAATGGCACAATTTTTTATTTGAAACATAAGTTTGAGGAGGAAGAAAACTGCATTTTTTCGTTCTGCGTAAAAAGGTTTATTTTATTTTCGAGTACATCTTGGATACCATTACATAACATTATCAGTATTTCCCTCATAAGAGTAATTTGTAATTTTGAATTATCTCAGGGCATTATAATTTTGTACTTAATATTTTTAATAAGGTATTGTATTTGTGACAAGCTATTGAGAGATTAGGAATGGATATTAACTACCGTTCCTTTTATAAAATAATATCTCTCTCCAAGCAAATGTAAGTTAGTCGTATAAAAATTTATATTAATTAATACTTTAAAATTGCCTAAAATAGAAAATAAATTGTAGGAAAACATGAAAACATTTATGTAGTCGGTATATTATTGTCGTATGTAGTTTAAAACAAGACTTGATTTTACGTAAAGACTTGGTTTTGTATACAAATATATCTCGGGCCAATTTTTTTGGGATACAAGATATGTACCTATTGACAACATAAATGCATTACAAGTTTTAAAATAAAAAATAATATTCCTTTTTAAAGCATAAAAATAAGTTTTATTTTTTATTACATATAATATTATAAAGATATTATTTTCAAGTAAAGGTATATTTTTGACTTTAAGCCAATCTGCTTGAATGGCAATGAAATATCATTTGTTGCCCACATTGCAGAAATGCATTGTCATTAATGTGCTGCTATATCAATTAAAAATATTGTCGCGAAGTTAACCATGCATTTTTATACAAACTGAAGGTGTTTGGATAATTTCAGCTCAATCTTTGACAATATCTGGGTTAAAATTTAATTACAAAGTTCATTTGAGCAAACTACATACATGTAAGAGTATGCATCGCAAAATAAATAAAAGCTTGTAATAGTGAATAAATAATGATGGTTGTTGAATTGAGCTTTAAATCAATATTTTTTGTAGTATAGAGGAAAAAACATCTTTTTTACAAAATTCTTTATTTTATTATACATACATATTTACAAGATTTTTTAATTATAAATATTAACATAATAAAGTTTTATATTATATCGGACAAAATTGTTATGTGGTGACTTTAATTTTGATTGGTCTTATTTACAATAAGAAATGATATTTCTTAAATATTGATATATTCTATACATATATTAAATAAATAACAATAGGTTGCAAAATGTATTGCAACATAATAATAATGATATAAACAATTTTTAATTGAAAAAAATATTTAAGTGCAAAAGGAATCAATCCAAATTATTTAATTTAACTACCTATTAAATATGCGACTACTTATCTATGTATTTAGTGACCTAATATTAGGCACGAATCCGACAGTCATTAGAGCGCGAAGTAATGCAAGCGGGCGCCTCGATAGGAATCGGTGAGGTGACCGGCAGAGTAGCCTCAGTACCCACACTTTGACTAGAGATTTCATGCGCTATAGAAGACGTCGGTTTGGCTTGTTCCTTAGATATGTCAACCTTGTTATAATTAGATTTAATCCCAACAACATCGTTCAATAATCTGTCTGGTTTCATAATTTTTATGTCCGTGACTAACACTGCTAAAGGCGGAGGTGGTGGAATATAATAAGAATGTGGTTCATAATTATCATCAACATAGTCCTCGGGGTTCCAGGCTGCCGTGGTTGTGGTTGTTGTAGAAGTTGACACTACTTTAATAGGTTTCGCCTTGTGAATTGTCGGTGAAACCTTTTCTTTAATATTCTTTGCAGACACGGTTGCTGTCATTGGGACATTTACTATTTTTCTAATATTACTTGATCTAGTCTTCCTTCGTGATTGTAGTTTTGGCACATCGAGAAAGAATGGGTCAAATATGAGGTCAGATTCTTTATAATCATCATAGTTTATTGCCACGATTGGCTTTACTGCACTAACCACATTACCGACGGTATAGTTCAACCTTTTGCCGTTACTATCGCTTACAGATGCACTAGCCGTCACTATAACACGTGGTGGGCTTTTTGGTTTGGGCAGAATACGTTCTGTTACTGTAAGGGGTGGTACAGATCTTGCTGATAGTGAAGATTCATTTTCGGGGCTGGAATCCTCACTGCGTTTGCGATCATAATAAAATGGATTAAAAGGTAATGGTTGCTGAGGGGGCAAATGTTGTGGGTAATTTTGATGCCGATGTTTCACTGTAGTTTCTAACCTTTCAGAAGATTGTGAACTTTGACCAGGCCGTAATATTTGGTCTCGCGGATCAGGTGTAGTTGGACGAAAAGGCGTCGGCTGTGGACGTTGCACAAATGGCACTGGACGTGATGGGCGAGGTGCAGTTCTTGAAGATTCGTATTGGAAGTGGTCAAACTGCTGTGGTGGGGCATGAGTTATATATATACCATCAGCCGGACGAAAACTTTGTCTTTGAAAGGATATGGCTTCAGATCCAGGCCCTCGATGCCGATATATAAACTCTTGAGGTGAAAGTAATGAAGGATCTAAAGTTGACGACGGTATTATGGATGGTTTTATTGAGGGTATTTGAGGTGAATAAGAAGAAATAGACGGCGTAGAAGAAGTAATAAAATGGGGTATAGGTGTGGGTGACGACGATGGTGACACTGTCGATAGTGGTGGCAATTGGCTCGTTGAAGGCTTTCGTGTTGTGGTAGATGTAGAAGTGATGCTTTCCGCAGTTGTAGAACTCACAGGCGGTGCGATGTCTTCCTCATATTCGACGTCATCATCGTCAATACTGTCTTCATCTTCTTCATAATCTGTAATTGTTACGGATATTGTTTTATTTTTCAATTGCATATAATATTTTCGTATTTAATTCTTTTCGTGAGCAGATTTGAAGTTAAAAAGACATTCATAATTTTCGCATATAAGTTTTTGTAAGGGATGCATTTCCCTTTATTTACATATCATGCGACCAAATTGTATTTTTGCTCATTTGACAGAAATTTTGTTTGTTTCTATTTCATCACGTGCTCCTGTATTAATTACCTTTTTTATTTTCTTCTTGTTTAGATTGCAAAGTGGAGTAAGATGCGGAATTTTTGTTATCATCCTGTTTTATTTCCTGGATTGGGTCTTCGGTAGAATCTATGATTTCCGAAGACTGATTTTGTGTTTTATCAGGTGTAGTAGATAAGTCACTAGTAAATGGATCTGATAAGTCTGTTGTGGTGGGTTTATTGGATGTAAGTGTATTCGATGCTTCTGTAGGTTTTGGTTGTAGTTTAGTTTCTGGTGTTTCAGGTTGTATAATGGGAGGTGCAGTGCTTCCATACAATTCTAAATTTAAACTATAGAACTTTTCAGACTTTGTGCAATCGACTTCGTCTACTCTTTCGCAGACTCTCGTTTCCTGGAATGTAAATAATAAAAAATATAAAATTCACGATTAAAATTATAGCAATATCATTTGAATTTATTTTAAAAAGGATATATCCAATGTGTTTTTCATATATTAAAAGTTTTATTTCAATTTTTCATATATTTAAATTTTTATTTCTAACTCAATTAAGAACCAAATCATTTTGAGTATTTTCTTCCCATACCGGCCAATGCGAAAGGGTTATCGTACCTGATCAAATACAGTGCCGTTGAGGCAAAGGAATTTGATATCCATAGGTTCTTCGTTCTGGCCTACTGTGCACACGTGGAACATCTGACATGAAGTCTCCAAATCAGCATAGTAACCCCCAATCACTTTGCCAGCACATGTGAAATTTGTGTCTGGGAGGTTGTCAAAGTCCAAATACTGAAAAAACGAAATACATCGGTTTGTTCATAAGTATATTTCAATGAGATCTAAGACTTCGCGAGTATTCATTACAATGAAGTTAATATTTTTTGGATTATACTACGGGTATTTTATTATGACACATCTCGTCTGCCCGTGATCACGGTTGCTGAAAAGTAACCGAAACGTCAGTATTTAGTTTTTAAAACAATAAAATACGAACAGTATTATCCGATACATACATATTACTTTCTTTTATATTTCTCTTGTTTGATTATCGTCCGGATAATATTGTCAATGACATTTAACACCGTCGTTCTCGTTACAATTGTTTTTTACTCTTTTAAATCTTTTTTAAAGCCTATTCAGTACAGTGCAATGTTTATATTAGTAATCAATACAAAATATCGTGTTATAATACTTACTCCTGGTTGAATGGACCCTGATATCCGGAATTCATTTTGAAAAACAAACAGTAGCAACCACAGCCAAACTGAAATGATATTATTATATACATATAACAATTTGGACACCGATTTAATGTCGACTTGACGGTAGCTGTTAGCCCTAATGGCTTTGACAACGTCACCGGTGAAGGGGGGGGGGGGGAAACACCGTGTAAATTACATCATTGATATATAACAAATACGACGTTGTTTTAATATATTGATATATAAACATTAGACGTCTTAATGTATTTACCTTGTAAAGCAGAGGCGGTACGCGCTACAAGCGTGCCGCCGACTATAAACCGAGCCTGCCGCCGCATCTGAAGAGGAAAATATATTGTATACATTATTATTATTGGTTTTATTATAAGAAATAAATGAAATTTTCATATTCATTTATTTAAATATATTTCTTTAGTAACTAGAATTTTTCATTGCGGAAAGTAGACTTATTATATAAATAAAATAGGTTTTATACAAAGTTCTTTGTGGTAACGAATATGAAATCTGTTTACATTTTTTAAGAAGAAGTATGTATAATTTTGTCAGTATTGTTCTATCAAATATAGTAGTTATAATAGTATAACATAACTCTTATACCAATACTAGAATGGTTTAATATCGAGTATGTTAAACATAAACTATTACATTATGTCGTTTCAAACTGTCGAACTTATTAAAACGAATTACAAATCATTTACAAGAAAACAATTTTTTACGTATAACATAAAAAATTCTATATTATTTTCTTTTCTTATTTATAATTGTCATCACAGGCAACTTTTGCAAGAGAAGACAAGTAATTGTTATTTTAGTACGTAACGCTAGAGAGAAATGGTTCTTTGTTTTGGAAGTTAGTAGGTTTATGTATTTCCTTATTACATAAAATGTTCGTTGTTATCGAGTGATTCCAACGTTGTTATGTAGAATTTAGAGCATCCGTTTTCTAATGTTTCAGCTTGTAATCAATGTTTACTAGTACTTCACCCTAATAATGGAGATCGATATAATGTTGCGATAATAATAAATACAACAATAGCTTGTTCAAAATTTTCGCACGCGCATCACAAAATAACAATAGCATTTCGACATTTACAATTAGCCATCTACAATGAATTGTTCCAATATGTTTCATACAAATTGCATAAGAAAACAATTAAATGTTTCGATGTTAAAATGCTCCACTTTTACGAAATTTGGCAGATGAAAAATTATTTTATAAATAAAGTATATAATTTATACTGTATAAACGTTCTATAAAGATTATGAAGAATTATTTTTATAAATAAATTTATTACTTGCATACTTAACTAACAACAAACATATAATTAACAAAAGAATGTATATTGACTATTTAATTAAGAAGATTACAAAAGTTAAACATCCCTTATTAAACCCTAGATCTATTTCACACTTTCAGGATAGTTTTTGTTTATGTTTTTTTGTATTAAATCATGAACAGCGTCTTTACATAAATGAGAATAAATGCATTAAATTGTGTAAAATGCTTATACATATATACGACAAATTATACTGGCGAAGTCTTGTTTTTTATTTATAATAGTTTTTTCTTTATTGTAGTTTTGTGTAGTAATAATAATAATAGTTTGATATAATATATTGTAAATTTGATTATAGATAAATGGAGAAAGTATTATATAGCCAATATGATACTTTTTTTCGTATTAACGAGGCTATTAAGAATTATGTAAAATATGAACATTAAAACTGTAACACTATTAATACGTTACTAAGAGTTTACAACAATTACGAAACATACTTTCAAATTTAAGTCAAGATTTTATTTTCATTAGAATATGGAGGATTAATAATTATTTTTCATTGATAAATATTTTCACATTATAACTTAGGTATTTGATTGAGGTCGGGAAACGTTTGATAATATTGAAAAGTTGTGTTCAATACATATATTTTTAAAATTATGATGTTTATATATTGTCATTACTATTCTCAATATACATTTTCATTTCTTTTGTATGAAAAGTGTTGTGACGGAAAAATGAAGTTTGTTACAATAAAATAAAAATCTGAAAGTGTTTGCAAGAATTATTGAATGTAGTTCGTTGTTGTGTTTAGGTAGTTGTCTAATATAAGTCTTTATTGTGAAAGCTCTTGCACCATTGCTACTATGTCCTAAGGCGTGGTTTCCTTCTAAGGCTGAAGCACGAAATTGGAGCAAAAGACAAAATCACACCGCGCTCTACAAATTGATATTATCAAAGAAGTTTCGTTTGTTCTTTCGCTTTATGATGTCTAAGACTTTCGTGAGGAGACATTTAAGATAAGACTATTTTCTATTTTCCTACGCGGTTTTATAATATGTCATTTTATTCATTTTTTTGTTTTTAAAACGACGTAGTAAAAACCAAAAATCATTATAGTTTTATTTTAAAGACTTTTTGTTTCATGGCACAAATGATTATAATTAATTATTGTCATATTATACGATAAGATAGTTGCAGTGTTTGTTAGGTACTTATTCACCAAAAAAGACACTAACAAGCCGATTTGTATAAAATTTTCACAACACATTTTACATTAAGACTGACAAAACTTTATTTATTTGATTTATAACTACAAAAATAGTCATAACAGTTAATTCTCTTGCTTAAACTAAAGAGGTATTTTGTTTATAACTAAAGAGTAATAAGTAATAGATATACCTTTTCAAAATATAGAGAAAAAAATGTTTTTTTTTGTTAAAGGTTTTACAAATGAATTTTTAATTACGGTATTTAAATCAGGAATCTTTATCTAATGTATATGGAATTCATAAGTAAGTTTTTAAGAATATATGTATCTTTGACGCTTTTTGAAAAGAAACTAATTTCTATAACTACGGTGATAAGTTATACGCGGCATTTATTTGAACATTATACAGTTAATACATATTCATTAACCTGTAGATGATAATTATATTGCAAAATTAAGCAATATTTATGTTAGACGTAAGAAATTGCCAGTTACGTAATTTCAGAAATAGGCTCTGTCTCAGCTAGACCATTGGAATGTATGCTCTGTTATAAATTATAAAATATATCACTTTTAACCTACATTATCACACTAAAATTACGTATCTTGAGAAAGTCTGTGTTCCTCTGTGAGCGTGTGTGTGTGCGTGTGCGTCTGTGTGTGTGTTTCCCAATGAATATTACAGAACTACTTAATTATTTTTATAAAATATTAAATATGTTTGAATATCTAATTTGAAAATAGCACGAACCTAACTTTTCTTTGCCCCATCTTCTTTGGACCAAGATTGCCACCAGGACTTAAACAGTAGTATTCATATATTTATATTAATCCTAAAAAATCAGCAGTCAAATGATGTAGTATGCAAGTGAGGAACGTTTTTTTAAATTTAATGTTAACGGTTTTTGAAGTCCGTTATCGTAGTAAGTAGTGAATCGTTAATAGCTCGGTCAGTGTGTTATTGAAGCCTCACCACAGCTACTGACTGTATTAAAATGAAATCAAGACAGCAATTGAAAGAAATATAAAGCGTTAGCTACATTTATTAGGCTTTAATTAATTTTTAAATAAATTACATAGGCGTAAAAAAGTATTAGAAGAATCGTCGGAAATCATTATAGCTTGTTAGAATGAAAAGGAAAGTTAACAGCTTGTATATCAATGGCCATACATAAAAAATTATAACTTGATCGAGATTTGCATAACTCTTAAATATTAGGCGATTGGTGATTGTATAACACGTTTCCTCAGATCATGTCCTGTTTGTGATGATTTAAGTTAATTTGGACTTTGTAAGAATCTTAAACATTGTGGCTTAAATATTTGTTCACTTATTCGATCGATTTTGTATCATATTATTGTTGGACCACAAACTGCGACAAATAAATGAAGTGTACTAATATATATATATATATATATATATATATATATACATATATATAAGTGAACGTGTCATTGAAATATGTTTATGAATCTTCGTTTCAAACTTAATTAGAAGTGACACTTAATATTATACTTGAAGTTATATATGTTGATAGACAAGCACGACAATGTTCTGATTTCAACACCAGTTCTTGTTTTATAAAACTGAACATGCTAAATGATTGTATTATAAGGTCAATGATGAATCGTAATATAAAAAAACAATATATTAAATTACAATGATTATGAATCCATTCACTATCACGATGTATCAATATCAAGACAGATCTGTAACGATTTAAAATATTATATATATTTTATTAATATGTATTTTGGTAATAATATCTTATTGTTTTGATTAATCTATTATGAAAATGTTCTTCTTTGTTTCCTTTATAATCTTCGTAATTGTTTCATAAGTTTATATAACATTCAAAGACATTAAACTATATATTTTTTTATTTCGCAATTCGCAATTAAGGTCCACCTACACACGACTCAATTAGGCTAATAACAGACGACGCGTGCCAAATGATATCGCTTCCATATAAAGCTTATTTAACTACAGCTCATGAATACCATCCTTTTTTTAAGCTTATCAGATAACACGCCTACGTAGTCTGCAATCTATTTTTTAAACCACATCACTCTTATGTGCGCTTAAAAAAACTATGAATATATAAGGATTATAAGGATTTATTTCATAATTTAATATTACGAAAACGTATATCTTGAACTTATAAAAGAGAAACATTCGGATATTTGCGGATGTTATAACGATAATTCTATTGCAATCTGACTTTAAATTTAGTATCCTTAATATAAGTTTTCTAGTATACATAAACACCTTATATGATACGCATACTTTTCACTCGTGTTTCTACTTATATTTATGTCGTCAATTATATTTATGGACTAAAACCGTCGAACGGTCTGAGTATCGTGTGTTGCTAAACTGTAAAAACAATCTCCCACTAACTGTACAGGATAGTAGTGATAATGATTAGTTCGAACTCACGATTGACATGACTCAGTCTCAACCACGCTCCATCCGTTGTAAGCAAACAGGATACACTTATTTATTATCCTCTTTATATTACCAAAGAATGTTCCGTGGCACGTGCATTTCATTAAACGTTAACTCCCCCTTCATATCATTATCCGTACAATCTAGCTCGCTGAAAGCAATTCATTATATTTGTTTTTCTACCTTAATTCTTGTTGCAAATTGTATGAATTTCTTAAAACTGTAATCGGAGTTGATTGTATGTCTAGCCGAGTTTGTCATTACGGTCATTGTACTTATCAAGTACGATTTCTTTCCTCTAGGCACTGTAATTGAAGGTCAATTGCAAGGATTTCGCAGTATAGAAATGTAGTATAATTGACGACATGTTTGAAGCGC